ATGGACGAGTAATAACGATAAATCTATGCAAGAGACAAAAGATGAAATGAGCAAAACTGACTATTCAATCAGGTATGTCTACAGTTTTGGCTTATTCATAAATTTTCACTGCATATGCACTAACGTTGGGTGAATTTGTTAAATTTTCTTTGATGTGTATTTAGGCAATAAACATAAAATATTGGGAGAATTTTACTCCGTGTCATTGTTCTTTTTGTAACTGATGTGACAGAAATAGTATCAAGATAATAGTAGCCTTACGGGTATCCCACCCTACCCTACACAGATCTGTTAATTTTTGTGCGTGAGTGTTACATTCGTTTTTATACCAATTAAGTAGGAAATTTTCCCTTGAATAACTCAATGGGAACTGTCATCGTCTCTCGGTGTTTCGGAATGGCACGAACTAAACAGACTGCCCTCATATCAGCAGGAAGTAGGGCACCTCGAAACCAGCTGGCCACCAAGGCTGCGCGTAAAAGTGCCCCAGCTATCAGGGACGTAATGAAGCCATATAGGTACATAACTGGGACCATCGCCCATCAAGAAATCCGTCATTACCAGAAATGTACCGAACTTCTGATTCGTAAACTTCCATTCCAGCGTTTGGTCTGAGAAATCGCCCAAGACTTCAAGACCGATCTACGATTCCAGAGCTCAGTCGTGTCTGCTCTTCAGGAAGCTAATAAAGCGTACTTGGTTGATCTGTTTGAATTATTTTAAATATATAACAGCACAACAGCCAGTGAAAGTCACAAACGAGCATAGAATCGTCTACTGAGTTAAACAATTTGTGCAGGCTGCGACTGTAGAACCAGTCTTTGTTTTAGATTTTTCCGCTACTAGAAAACGGCGAGAAAATTGGATGGAAGCATCGAACAGAATCTTTGAACACTTATCATAAACCAAAATAATTGTGTGTAGTGACTCACTTTTATCACGAGAACACGATTGGTTTATTGAAGACAATTATTATTATAACCAATTGTGCCAGTGACTGTTTTAATGTGCTTTTGTTTAACTGTGCTAAAAAGCATCCATTATTCTTAAACTTTGATTGTGACTTCGCGCAAATTCGGTTACGTTCTGCAACCAAGTTTGTATCCTCGCACGATCTCTATATCCTTTCGATACCACAAGATCGCCAGCAAATATATCTCGACTTGGTTCATTAACTGCCTTCTGATATTTGGCTTCCGGGGGATTTTATGGAGTCATTTGGCACGAGTTTCTTGGTAACGGTGTTCATAGTCAATCTCCACTCGACACCACGCTACAGATGTATACCGAAAACAATCCAAGTGAGATTTGTAGAATTTCTGGTCTACTATGATATTAGTACTGCTCTAATAATAGACCCAATCCTAAATGTGGAAGTCACACCATCGACTACACCAACTCACTGTATCGTATCAATTACCAATACATGATGTAGAACAAGGTTAGGCTAGAGAAAGAACAATATATTTAATATGAATAGAAGATATAAGGTAATATTCAGCAGAGACCACGCCTACATGGCCGAGCCATGCCGTTCGATCAACTTTAGTCTAATTTATTCAATTCATTATTCGCGCCTTCTCCATCGTTATGTATTTCTTCGCGTTAAATATTGAATAGCTATTTTCCAAGTAATCTCGTATTCAGCTTTGAGGATAGTGTGGTTATGGTCCGATGCCACTACAAATTCACCAGTTCACTAGATGATGTAATATGTTTACAGCACTTTAAAATATGCAACATTTTGTGTTCATTTAGACTATTCACATATATTGTATCATAAAAAACATCATTCCCATAATACTTTTTTTAAAATAAGATATATTCATTGGTTTAGTAGCCTTAGATAAATCCCAAATATCAGTAGTCCTGCAAGTCTTTTAAATTGATGCTAACCTAATTAGTTTCGCTAAACACACCTTAGCTGAAGGCGCTCGGTCACGCATCCTCACCAGAACACTAATGGGATCGCCGTGCTACGCATCCATCGCAACTACCACTCAGCTAAGATCAAATGCCCTTCTTATCCTTAAGGCCAAAGGAAAAGTGGAAGACCAAAGAACACATTACGCCGGTAAATGGAAATAGACATGAGAAAAATGAACAAGAATTGGATGGAACTAGAAAAGAAGGCCCAGGACAGAGTGGATTGGAGAATGCTGGTCTGTGGCCTATGCTCCTTTAGGAGTAACAGGCGAGGATAGGATAGGATACCTACAACTATCCAAGCATATCCTCAAACCCATACATCCCTTACTTTTGCTTTGATCGGGTCAGTATCTTTCAATAATATTGATGTCATAGTCAAAAAGAGTTGTCAAATTCCGAGTATCTGTGACATTTTTACCAGATTTGCCAGGGGAGTTATGGCTCTCTGTAAGGCTGTGAAGTTTCTATCAATGTTCTATATCCAAATGTGATACTTTTGTCGCATCACTTTGTTAACGTTTTACTCGGGATATTGTGTTCTCTAAACCAGTCATTCTAGCCTTATCATGTATCTTACGACCCTCTCATTTTCCTCTTCTGTTTTGAGGCCTTGCTAATGATATTAATGTTTGGTTTACTTTTATGCATTAGTCATTTGTGCTCTTATTGGTTATCTACGATCTACACATTATTCATATATATATATATATATATATATATATAGCATTCACTGAGTTGGATATCCCTACTATTCCAGTGGATAGCCGTTTCTCTTTTTCTTCCTCTGACAAACTGGATGTACAAAGTATATCCTTTCGAAACACTTCCGTATTCGACGTTTGATATACCATTAATCAAAATGTGTTAAGCAGACATAATTTATGAGGAGTTGTGTGAGATCCATATTTCAGTGACATTCTTATCATTTTAACATCCTCGTGTCATCCACGGTTACTACATGGCTGTATTACGATCAATAAATGGGTGCTTGCTAATTATTTTTTACCAACGCTTTTAACTTCAGTCCATTGTCCACTAGGACGAAACGGCCGTCCAGTGCTTCCAGGTTTTCAATGGTGGTCTAGCTTCAACTGACTCATGATTTAAATCTGTGAACATTGTCCATTTGTTTTATATTTAATTTGTCACAACTTTGAATCAAAAGTCGGAGTTAACACATGAATGCATGACAAAGAGAGATATGATTGGAGAGACTACATTTCCCAAGGGTCTCTAAAAGCTACTGCAAGCTCATGATTCCCACACTCGTATCAGAAAATCTGTCAAACCCTTGTTGTGAAACTAGAAAGACTATAGTTACCAAGGTAAAATACACAGGACTCGATTAGAACAACTATAGCGAAAACCAATCTATTACCTCATGGAACTTGATTGACAGGAAATTAATACCAGAGCCAATCAAACTAGATGCCGAGAATGATGTGATGTGAAGATGAACTTGAAAAACACCGGAACTCCGTATTTTCAGAAATATTAACTGGTCAATTGTCATAAGAAGTGTCCAACACGGTGTACCCGAACGTAGTTTCGTATGTATGTTTGACCGATTTCCTACAGCTCAGAATGTGTCCGGCAAGACTAATAAGGTCAGCACCATTGTCGAAAGCTTATAAAAATATCTATTTTCGATATCTATTTGTCACAAGGGTTGTTTATGTGTTTTCGAAATACCCTGCGCTTTTTTTATTTTTACAATCAAGTGAATTAGGAGTTAATGGTATTCCTGAAGAAATCGAGTTCAATGACTCTTAGTTCTCAAAGTAATACCATGTTTCAAAATGTTCTTGAATCCCTTGTCAAGATGTATCTCGATGAAACAGAATCTGGCCAAACTGATAAAAAAATCTTTCATACGCTGTACAGAAAGATAAATGAAGAAAAGAAGACAGTATGACTACTCAAAATCTTTTGATAGGGTCAACCATATATATCTTACCAGTAGGCTCAAACGATTAGGTGCCAAATCACCTCTAATTGATTGGCTCAATTCATAATTGAAAAATCGACATTTTAAGGTCAGGGTTAACTTTGCTTTATCTCAGACTATAAATGTCCTAGTGGGGTTCCCTAAGGTCCAGTACTAGGATCTCTTCTCTTGATTTATATGCACGATCTACCATAACAAGTATCGTTTGACCTATTACTTTTTGCTGATGATGTGAAACCTTAGAGAGAGATACGCAACCGAAGGAATGTACTGGCACTTTAGGATGTATGACAACGGGCTTACCCTTAACACTTTAAAGTGTAAAGTAGTCCACCTGAGACATGTTTCAGGCTACAATTACAACTTAGGCAGCTACCCTCTAGAAATATTTAAAGTTGAAAAAGATTTAGGAGTGATGGTACCCTATGGTCTGAAGTTTTACGCTAACTGATAAAAATACCTTTTGAGCAAACCTCGAACTGGTAACATTGAAGTGCATTTTTGGCCAGTTTGACGGAATAACATCCCACATAATCTTCAACAGTTGTATTCGTCCCCATTTAGAGTACGGAAACTTAGTATTGCCTGCCTCAATCCAAAAGAATAAGGACATTATTGAGCGTATCCAACGGCGAGCCACGAAATCAGTTAGTGGACTTAAATTCAAGCCTTATGAAGAGTGCCTCCAATCACCAAAGTCTTCAACCATTAGAGTACAGACGTCTTAGATGTGGGCTTACAGCATCCTTGACACTTCTGGACATCCTCTTAAACACCTACTTTAGTTTAGCTCCAACACAAACCTGAGGTAACACTCAGAAACTGGAGACACAACATGAAAGAACAGACTGTAAACACAACTTCTACTCGTTGAAAATTGTCAAGTGCTAGAATTCGCTGCCGGTTGAGCTAGTTCAAGGGACTTCCTAGGAGTCCCTTAAGAGGAAACTTGACCTATTCTTCAGGACTAAGGATAGTGTCATCCCATGATTTACCAATTTCTTTCTTTCCTCTATTATCGTTGATATACCTAGGTTCTTGTCTGGATGTGTTGGTGATTCACTGCTACTAGACTCGAAAGACGGTTAAGCGAAGGCTTCTTCTATTCTGTCCACAACCATTTGAACCATTTGAATGAGTTACCTTTTTGGCGGGAAGAGTGTGCTTACATTAACTAAAGTTCTTATAGCTTCTTCTCCGCTGAGGACTGAGTGTAATTTCATGAGTCGGCTCCTTTTGATTTTAAATTTTTATTTGATGGGTTAAAAATCATCTAGTCAGCTTACATTTACAAAGATTGTTCCAGCCACACGATAACTTAAGTTATCACAATTGTGATCTACTTTTATAGGTTAATAAACCTATCATTATTATCCAGGACTAAAGATTTCAAGATTAATGCCGTATATCTGATACCTAGTGAGTCAGTTAGTTTGGTTCGAGTTTTCATATACATTTCTGCCACGTAGTGCTTTGTAAGATTGGCTATACATCCTACTGTCCCAAGCTGTCAGCTTTGGGGAAATTTTGGGTTTTAAGTCTCATTTCCCCAAAATTTAGTATAGAGGCTTCCCCAAAATTGACCAAATTTTCCCCAAAGTTGGGAGCTTGGGGTGTGATGAGATACTTAGTAGTGTTTCGTGATACATGTCGTCATCTGTAAAAAAACGTTGATGCAGTATTATTTTGGCTTGTCTTTTTGTATTCGACAAGTGAATAGGGGGTGTCATAACATTGGCTACATGTATATCCAAATCAATGTGTTTCATACAACCCGTATTACATTCAAATTTATGCTGGATATGCTTTATATTGATCTAGGTGGTCCTTCGAGAGCCACTTTGGTTCAGCAAGGTTGTAGGGATTTATCGGAGAAGGGATTCCATCAATTTTAGTAAGATATCACGGTTTGTGCGATTCTCTTAACTCATCTGATATAACTGCACCCCTTTGTCTTGTCTAATTAGTGGTCAATACAAACTTTTATCATGTTCTAGATTTCATATTTGTGAGTTACTATTATCAGAATTACTTTTTACATCCTTTGTAGGTTTTCTCTCACTTACAGTCTGTCTTCAGACCAGCAATACGCTATCTTCAATCTGTTAGCATACTCAGAGCTTGCAAACAGCATATACTTTATCGTAATATGGATTTCTATATCAATGTACCTCCTCCCGTGCATTTTCTTGATGTTACTGAAGCGTTCAAATCACTTAGCAATGTGGAGAAGGATTATGTTTTCAGCTGCACACAAGCGTCTTGGATTGGAGGTCTCATAGGATTAATTCAAACATCTCCTGAGTCTGCCGGAATATTTTTGTTTGTCAGTCGCTTTTTCCATTTGGAGAACGTACATTCCTTTGTTGAAAAAGCGACAAAAAATAATTTTTCCGATGAGGAAATAACTCACATTTTATCTTATTTCGCCTCAGTGCTGGGTAATTTCGGGAATTACCTGTCTTTTGGGGACACCAAGTTCATCCCAGCTATCAATGTCGACAGGGTAACAGAATTTTTATCGTTGAGCAGTGAATTTTCTAATTCAGAAACTGGTCTTAAAGCTTTATGGAAAGAAATAGCTCCAGCCATCTATTCGTTAAATCCTCGCCGTTTACGCCTTGGTTTTAGTCCCACTGAAATAACGTCTTATTACTCTGAAGACTGTATTCGAAGCGATGCTGAGCTAGTTCAAAAATATCTGGAAAACGTTAAAATTGAAGCGTATAATACCCGACTTTTTAAGAGTAGTAACTCCAACTCCAAAGTTTATTCGATTCGTTTTGCGTCGGCTGAGAAAAAAGTTCAACCTGTGCATTTTGATGCCCTTCCTTCGGGAACTTCTTTGCAGCTCGAGTACGGTGACTACTGCGAACTTATGGAGTTACTGGTTGACTGCTCTTTAGATGCCAAAGCACACTCTCTTAACAAAATCGAATCAGAAATGTGGGATCATTATGCTCAGAGCTTTTGTACTGGGTCCTTAGACTCTCACAAAGATGCTTCTAGACTATGGGTCAAGGACAAATGCCCTGTGGTTGAAAATTACATTGGTTTTATTGAAACTTATCGTGATCCTTTAGGTGTGCGTGCAGAGTTCGAGTCATTTGTCGCGGTTGTGAATCGATCAATGTCATCTAAATTTCAGCGGCTAGTAGATAATGCTGTTGAATTGTTATCTAATTTACCATGGCCTTCTACTTACGAAAAAGACAGGTTCTTACAACCAGACTTTACAAGTTTGGACGTAGTAACGTTTGCAACCTCAGGAATCCCTGTTGGAATTAATATTCCTAACTATGATGATGTGCGCCAAGTTGATGGATTTAAAAATGTATCCCTGGGGAATGTACTCAGTGCTCGTTTCAAGGTAAAGTCTGTTTGTATAACCTATTTTTCGTATTAGGACCCTAAATCAGAATTTCTCCGAGAGGAAGACAAACAGTTGTATGTGGATCATGCGGAGAGTTCTTTCGAACTTCAAGTTGGACTTCATGAATTGTTAGGCCATGGTTCTGGGAAGCTCTTTCAACGTAGTGGCGATGGAATACTGAATTTTGACACAAATTCTACGAAAGATATCATTAGTGGAGGTCCCATACGTAGTTGGTACGTCAGTTACTTTCACTTTCCTATGGTTACTATTATTGCTACCTTCCCTATTTTCTTATATATACCAAGTAACAAGTGGTATATAATTCTAGCCGTTAGTGTAAACTTAGATCTGTCCGCTCGAGATATTCGCTATAAATATCCAATTAACTAGTGTCAAAAATTGTAGCACATTAAACGTGAGCATATGCAGGTAGTTATGACAATTTAAAATGACAAGAACGTGCTTCTGTCTAAGTTGCTGCGATTCACATCAGTGACAAGAAATCAACGAAATAGTAATATCAACGTTAGTGGTAAAGTAAACTGTGAATATTGTAAAAAAAATGATAAAGTGGCAAATTAGTAATGTTATGTTACGACTTTTAGCTTTTCCTTAACCGGCTTGTATTTTCATCATAATATAGGTAGATGATGATAAGCATATTCTGAAGTATGGACAATAACGAAGTGTCATCCACTTGGATGTCTATTCGCACTCGAACTCACGAAACTTTTATTCCCTTTTTATTTTTAACGTTAACACCAGTCAGTCGCGGCGTAGAACCCCCCAAATGCCCTGGTACGGCCGATGGTGGGGAGGGTTCGCTCTCCCTCTCGAGATGCTCTCACATGGCCGCGCTCATACAGCCACTGCCAGGAAAGTCCTATACACTGCCTTCTCGCAGTACTAGTGTTGTTTATGAAGTTGAGAGGACGGAAAACGAATGTCCCGCGCTTTAACTGGACCGGTGGATATGGAGAGTTTACCTTGGGGAGTTGGAAAACCCTGATGCATATGGGCTCCAGGATTCTGAGAGGACAAAAGGCGTATAAACCAATTGTTGATCACCGGATACCACGTGATTGCATCTCCTGACGTGCCCCACTGCCTTGTGGATCAGACCTTTAGGTCGAAGGCTCTGTGTTTGGCCCCCTAACAAAACCACCTTCGATCTGGGCACCCGGGCAGTATAATAGCCTACACACAAATCATGTGATTTGTATGGCACATATGTATTTGGTCCACCTTTGTACCAATATTTATGTTCATATAAATAAAATAAGAACCTGGTACATAAGTACACTGGTTCAAGTTGTCACGCTTCAGCACAGCAAGATGAAATTGTTAGGTCAAATTCCAGAGTAGTAGAGGCAGTAACTGTATTAATGGTATTAGAAAATATTAAGCATCGAAAATACGACTCAAAATAATGTAAATTAGTGAAATAAAAATTGTGCGGAATTCAGAAGCTAAGAATTTGGGGGAAGATATTGTATGGATGCATCTGCGTTATTGGAAACGACGTCTAGCCATTTTATTCGTTCTCTAATCAACGGTTACGATTACTACGTGGACCCCGATCGTGTATTGTATACCCACTAATTTGGCTCAGTCCGATAATCAATGATTATGGACTGGTGCCGTGTTTTTCTTTGATCGCTCCTTTGTTTTCTTTCAGCCTACTTCACCAGATAACATCTCCCGTCGAGTTAGGCCGTAATCGGAGATACGTGAAACATGTCACAAGCACCTCATTTGGTGCAGCTATATTGCCTCATTAGTCAACCTATCATTTTTACCTAGTACACTTGGTCATTCATTCAGTCAGTCAGCTACAACGTAGGACCAGGCACATATATGCATCGGTCCAGGTTGCCATACCTCATTAGCACAGCAAGATGAACACCGGATTCATAGGAGTGGTTAGGTTAAATGTGGTAATATATAGGAGAAAGATTGCATATAAGGATACAGTACCGGAATATAGAATTAGTTCGTAGAAAGAAAGATATGAAGCGATTTTAATCTCTTAGTTTAAGGGAAGACGGAGTGTATACACCGACGCCATTGTGATCGATTCTGAGCCATGTCACCAAGAGTCTCCAACCATCGGTTACGAAAGTCACGCGGACCCCAACCAAGTAGTCTGCATCTACCAACATGGCTCAGACTAGAGGTTAGTGTCTTCAAGCACTGCTGCCACGTTTTGGTTTGGCCGCCCCTAATTCTCTTCCAACCATCTCTAACACCCGTTAGCATTGCACGACGTGGTAATCGGTGTTCAGGCATACGTAACACATGGCCCAACCATCTCAGTCGATGAAGATTAACAACCTCATCAACTGATTTACCATCATTACCTAATACCCTGTGTCTAACCTCACTATTACTTACCCGGTGATCCCAACAGACGCCAGCAATATTTCTAAGACATCTGTGGTCAAATACTAGTAGCTTACGAGTGTCTTCTACTCTTAAAGGCCATGTTTCGCTGCCGTAAAGTAAAACAGAACGGACTGCCGCGCAGTATACTCGTCCTTTTATTGATAGACGGAAATCCCGCCTTCATCATAGGTGAGGTAAGTTGGCAAAAGCCAAGCGAGCTTTTCGAATTTGTGCTGAGATTTCGTCATACACCAACCCATTAGGGCTGATCAGACTTCCAAAATAAGTGAAGTTGTCGACGCGTTCGACCACTTCACTCCCTATCCTCAGTTCAGGTGTTGACGCAGACTAGTCCTGAGGCAACAACTTGCATTTAGAGGGAGAGAAGCGCATTCCAAACACTAGCATTGTTGCTCAGTGCTACCAAAAGACTCTGCATCTTATTAGCGTCTGCACCAAACAGGACTATGTCATCTGCGTATTCTAAGTCGATAAGTAGATCTCCTGGTAGGAGATCAGTTCCTAAAAATTCAGTTGACGAGAGCGTTATTTCCATCAGTATGTCTATGATGAAACTGAACAAAAATGGAGATATTGAAAAGCCTTGCCGAACACCACTTGAGGTTGAAAAGTCAGATGACAGTTCGCCACAAGCTCTAATTCAACTGGAAATGTTTGAGTAGTGAGCCGTCGCAAGGTTCATATATTTCTGAGGTACACAATTCAACGACAGACACTGCCATAGTATCACTCGGTCTACCGAGTCAAATGCTGCTTTTAAGTCAAGAAAGACCACCATTGTCGGACGTCGATAAGTATGCCTGTGTTCTAGAACCTGACGAATGGTGAATATGTGGTCGATGCAGCCTCGACCAGGTCTGAAGCCAGCTTGGTTTTCTCGTGTTTGCAGTTCATGAGTCTTAGTTAGGCGTCTGATTATTATTGAGGCTAGTATTTTAGATATTATATTAGTTAAACTAATCCCTCTGTGGTTGTCACAAGATGATTTTGATCCTTTCTTATATATTGGGACGATAAGTGATTGCGACCAGTCAGATGGAATAACATCTAACTCCCAGATCTTAGCTAAAATATTAGTCAACCTAACCGCTAAAATTGGACCAGCTGCCCTTCCTCGTTTCAGATTAACTATAGCCTTTTGAACTTCTGCTAGAGTTGGGGGACCTACTTAAATGTTCCATTCACACTGTCTGGGAATGGAGGGTAGTTGTAGAGTCGCTGAAGGCCAGCTGAACTGTTCCCTAAAGTGTTCCGCCCATCGTTCTAAACGTCTGGACTGGGAGTAGATGAGAGTATCGTCCTTTTCCGAAATAATCTCACTTACACTTGAGTTATTAGTTCCAGTTTCTTTTATTAGTCTGTAGAGCTGTCTTGTGTTCCCTATAGCTGCCGCCTTTTCCATCTCTTTTGCTTTCGTTGCCCACCACTGTTCACGGTCGTTTCTTAGACTTTTTCTTAACCTAGATCTGATTTGTTGTCGCTCTTCATAGTGTTCAGAGCCTGATGGGATGAGTTTACGAGAATCCATCAGTGCAATAGACCTTGAGGAAATCCATTGGTGCATTGTAACCCTGTGGTTTGAATCAATGATAGATGTCACTTCTGTTCCCACATCTGTTTTTATATCTTTCCAAGCAACATCTGGGTCAGCGTCGTTTTCAGAACTTCCTAAGTGTGACCTCAGTTGTTCCTGGAACTTACTTTTAGTTTTCTCGTTACTCAACTCAGTTCTAATGGGTCTTTTTATTGTGGCTTTTTTGCGTCCAGTGAGGCGCAAGCAGATGCGTGCCCGTATTAGGGCATGGTTGGAGTCCAAGTAGGTACTCCAGAATGAGCGACAATCTTCTACCGACCCTCTCCAACGATGACTGATGGCAATATTTGAGTCCATCGTTGGTTTGATGTAGGGGGTCGCCATGTTAGACGATATCTTTCCTTATGCTTAAAATTTGTGTTTGCTAAAAATAAGCGATTGTCTGAGCATAGTTGCAGCAGACGATCACCATTATCTGTTCGCTGTGCCGGAATGCTAAAATATCCACCTAAATGCCTTTCTGTTTGGTTTAAGCTACCTATCTGAGCATTAAAGTCACCCCCCTACGAGTACTATGTCTGAACGTTTAGCTTTCTGAAGAAGTTCAGATAGCTTTCTGTAAAATTCATCCTTCACTTCATCTGAGCTGCAGTCGATGGGAGCGTAGGCAGAAACGACAAAAAGGCAACGACGTGTGTCCCTATCCTTCCGAGTTCTTACGGAGCCGTTTAGCCGGACAGCACATAGACGACTGTTAACGGGGATCCACTCTAACAGTGCTTGTTCAGCCCTCATGCTTAGTGCTATCCCTACACCTGCCAGTCCACGAGAACTGGCCATCGGGTCACCAGATACACGGAGGGTGTATCTCGTTGGCTCTCCGTTTTGCCGAGGTGAGGTCAAGTGAATGACCACACTGGAATCCTGTATGCGTGTTTCGGAGGCACAGCATACATCAATGGTACGAGATTCTAGGGTTTTAGCCAAGAAAGCCTGCTGACCGATTTGACATAGGGTGCGTACATTGAAGGCTTCAATGTGTAGTGTGGAGCGAGGTTTCATTAGACCTGGGACAGTGTTTTGAGCACTAGAATCGTTGGCTATGGTGACACTTGAGAGGGAAGCCGAAAAAAGAAGTTTAGAGTTTGAAGTTGATGTAGGAGGAATAATAGGAATTGAAGAGGGAGGTTGATTATGAATCCAATGGTCTTGAGTGCTGTTAGACATATGAGGGTGGTTATCACTTCCCGGTTGCCCACACCGTGGAAGGGTTCTTCTGGAGGTACCTGAAAAGGAAATCGGATTAGAAGTGGTCCTAGTGACCTGGGAGCGTGACCGCAGTGCCCAAGGGACAACTGCTTGAGGTCGGTCATACACGACCTTTTTATGGGTAATTTTTGTGTTAGCTCCGTACTTGTTGAGACCTTACCGCCGGAGACGGATATCCGTGGGATAAGGCGAGGTGTGCATTTTTAGGGTCGACCTTTTCTAACCCCACCCCTCCTCGTGGGAAGGCAGCATCGCTGTCATGCTGGTTGTCTGAAGGAAACACCTTACTGCTGTCACACCTCTGTACAGTCAGCAGTACGACTTCGCCTTCGGACCTTGGGTTTGTTGCTTTTAGTCTTACCGCTTTTCAACCGACCTTTCTGACGTGGTAGGACCTTGAGGAACAGTTGTTCCAGTCAGTATAGCTCGGTTGCTTCATCACGATAGGCAAGCCCGACCACCACGTCAAGGTAGCAACAACGGTTGGGACTTGGTCATTACAAGGTCAGAACATAGGATTTTGTGTTTATGTGTGTGTAACCATGATCTAGGGACTTGACTTCCATTCATTGCATCCACGTTTGTCCATTTTGATCTCAGCAGCTGAGTAGTATCACCAAACCTCGGTGCAACAGGTAAATCTGTGAGGTCGCTAAGGCACTAATATTATATTGGTCGTTGATTGTGGGAAACAGTCACCGACTTCTTGGTTAGACCTGCCACTAATGGAATAACCAATGGAAATGTAAATAGTCTCATGATTCGATTTTGCAGCATATACGCTTAAATACTTCCATGTGATAACTCATAAGTCTAGTGGAAATAGGGCTCAGTTCGTTTAAACTAAAATAGGAAAGCCTCTATCTGCTTATGAAGGCAACGTTAGTCATTTGCTGCCCTATTATTAAGATAATAGAATAAGTAGATAACTCAAATTCATTCGAATAACCGGTTCGTGTCAAATTAGTGTCCTTATCGGTCGTTCTCAATGTACATTCTTAGTTATTTCATTTTCGACTTATTGAAAGTTTTCAATGGGTTGTAGCGTAAACACATTCTCTGTCGTTTTAGTTTCCGTCGTAATGTACTCAGAACAAATACACTGCAGTATCTGTGCATTATTCCTAACTTTTGCCGTAACTGTAAAGTTAGCGCTCACAAGATTATGTGTAGGAGTATACACAGTAAAAAAACAGTATTCTGAATAGCTTGATTATAGGTGTTTATAGGTGAAACTAATTAGTAGATCTTGTTATGCGTAGCCAAGATACAGGATTCGATCTCGACAGATTCCTATAGAAGGAATATTATGTACTGACTCTTGTTACATTTAAACTAACAGTTTAGGTAGGGGTCTTTACTTTCAATTTGGAATTTGTTACGAACTAATTATAATTGGTATTTATGATCACCCAATGTTAGTATTATTCAGGTCGATATTAATGTCATATTTTCATACGTACCTGTTCGGAGAGACAGCCTGATTATCAGTGAATATGTGTCATCCTTGTAAAGGTGAAGAAAATTACGTGTCGATCATAAAATAGTGTGATTATAGCAACGTTTCCTGACTTATAACTTCGTATTGGGTACGAACAGTCAATCATATACATATTTTTTTGGTGAAATTCCTGACAATGACTTTCATCAGTGGTATTTTCTTTAACTCTTAAGGTATGAACCAGGCGAAACATACGACAGCAAATTTTCGAGTTTGTCTTCGGCAATTGAAGAATGTCGAGCTGAATGTGTTGGAATTTATCTATGCAATTTACCACTTGTCTTGGAACAGTTTAATCTTAATACTAATTGCTCTACAGACAGTGTTCCAGATGTTGTTTACGTTAATTGGTTGTCCATGGTTCGTTCAGGCGTAACTTCTATGGAATTCTATTCACCTGCAGAAAACGCTGGCGATATTGGTTCGTGGCGTCAGGCACATTGCTGTGCTCGTTATGTGATTTTGCGGGTAAGTGTTTTCAGAAAGTTTTGCAAGTTACACTGAACTTCCACTTCGTGAAACTTCCTGTTTAGTAAAATATGCCACCACCTTTCTGTTTTCTTGAGCTTGTATTTTCGTTGGTTGGTCTAGATGTAAGCTCAAATAAAACACTTAATACATTTTCCCTCTGGTCATTATGTTGTAAAATGATTAATAATGAGAGAATACTATGCTTTCTGTGAGTTAAATCTCTCAACTCAATTTTAATCATGATGGTTATTCAACTAGGTGTATCTTTTTACAACCGATAGTACTTCCTGCTTTCTGCCTTCGTATTATTGACATTCTTCTAAGTTATGCTAGCTGAACGATAAAAGTCCATTTTCTGTAAAATTGCGTTTATCTTCCTTTTCTTAAGCTTATAATGCAATATAGTTTTGTTACGTTAATTTTCTTATCAATATCATTACTTTTATCACGTCATATGCGTGGATTTAAGCAAATAATCGATTCATTCGTGATTTCTTATCAGAGGAAGCATTTTAGCATCTGATTACTTGTGCCAATCTTTGAAAATCGTAGTGTCTAGTGGTCTGGGTAGCTAGCATCTCTATAATTTCTCTCGTTTCTTAATTATCACTAAATGTTACGTATATTACTCCTGACTGTTATGTCAATTTTAGACATATTGTTTATTCTTCACTAGGTTTTAATTGAAGCAGACAATTCGCTGGTACGTGTAGACGAAATAGTTGGTGATGATGGTGCACCTGATTTAACTATTTTCTTAGATCGCCAAAAGCTTTTGACAATAGGTCGTCCGGCAATTGGCGAATTTTTACGAAAAATTCAGGTGAGACCTTTTCATTTCATGTTTTTTATGGATTCTTACGAGTAGACATGTATCGTGCATGTACATATACTGGTACATTACTACTGTGCCATTCTGGAGACCTCAAGAGTTGATACAAATAAGATTAATGAATTATATGTCGTGGCACGACATCAGTTTACAATACCACAGACTTTTGGTCCAAGGTTTCTAAGAAAGCTTCTTGAATGCAATTATTGTTATTCATTGTCAAATATTGCAAGTCTTATGACTTAAGATAAGTCAAAGTGGCCCAAATACAATCATCTCTGGTTTCTAAAATCCTAAATTGTTTATTACTCCATATATTCCACTCATCTTTCAAGCCTCTCCTTTCGTTCTCGACAAGTGTTATCATTATTTTATTTTTCAATATTTGATTTTCTTGGTTTTCTAATTATGCTGATAAAATGTATGGCAACGTGGATGAGTGCATTCATGCTAGATGCTACTCTATGTATGGTTGCTTTCATATGTTTAATTTGAAAGTCTGGTTAAATAGCATATTCGAACAACGTGATATGACAACTTGGCACAAATCGTTTATGTGCCAGACTCTATGATGGATGAGTAGCTGACGAACTATTTCTTGGTAGTATAATTATTTTCTAAAGTTTCACTCACTTAAAACATTTCGTCTGAATGCTTTCTCTCAATTCTTTTGTTTCAGTATTATAAAAGTACAGCCAATGCTAAAGATGGTTGCGCCTTCTTCCAGCATTATTGTCAGTTGCTACCAGAACATATTAAATTGCGCCAAATTGTGATTAATCGCAAAAAACCTCGACCTATTTTCGTTCAACCTGGACTCCGTAAAACCCCTCACGGTGTTGAACTAATATCATATCCTACAACTTATACCGGTGTAATACAATCATTCGTGGATCGTTATGGTGATTTGCCTCTTGGGCAGAAAGCTCTTGATGCGCTAGAAACAATTTGGCGCCGTGAACTTCCGTATTTTAAAAACATACCACTTTAAATGACTTGTCACAAATTGTTATTTTCAATTAATTTTGGTTAATATATTGTATGTTTATTGTCTCCATGTGGATAGATGAATATTGTTTTGATTTATTTTTGCTTGGTTGTAATATTAGTGGTTGTGTGATGGTTTACTAGCTCCAAGTTATGGTAAATATGTTGTGTTATAATGTTCAAACCTCTCGATTTCAATTATTAAATTACAGGTTCAAAGTTGCTTTACGTATGTGGTATTACTAACCCATGCATAGAAACCGGCATAAAATTATACCCTTGAACCTGTTCTTTTTAGTTAATAGAATAGCTTACAAATGACAGTTATAGTTTTAGAACTTTTCTTCGTAACGTAGATCTTCACCCCATTTCTGTTGACATTGCAGTAAAAGTTACAAGCCTGTTGTTTCAACTGAAATGAAAATCGGTTGTTGAGGCTAGAGTGAAGCTCATGTTCAACAGTAAATTCTGTTCAGCTGAGTTATGTGCGATCTAAAACTCGCTTAGTAATTACTTACGATTTTCTCAGTAAAAGAACTATTTGATGCTTTCCTGTTGCTAATAACAATAAAATATACTGACTGATCTTTGATGGGCGATTTCACCCGTAATTCTTTCAAGTAAAATTAGAAAGTGTTTGTTTAAGCCTCAATATACTGATTCTTCAAATTCGAAGCAATGTTATTTTCACCTGTTTCTATTCTCATAGAAATACCTTGGTCACCTAGTTTGCTTAACTTCTGTTTTATTGTTACACTGTTGGGTTCCATTTAATATTAAACATCAGAGATGTTTTCTTTTTTCATCGAATTATTGGTGTGAGTAGTATATATATATATATATATATATATATATATATATATATATATATATATATATATATATATATATATATACTCGAATCTTGTTAATTGATTCGACTCCTAATTCGTTTCTATATTCGCTCGCTTGTGTGCGTCAGCTTTTCTGCTTGAATTCTCTCGGCGTGTTTATAGCTTGTTGATCTGTACTTTTCATTAATAATCTGGTTGGCGCTTTGTGCTGCCTTCTAAATTTATACACCGTTGGGATTTATTCAGCGGTTATCAGGTTGCTTGATATACAAAGCCTAAGGAATTATGTCAATGCTAATCCACTGCAAAGTGTTTTTTTGCGAAAGGAAACTATAATGCTGGATAGGGTTTCTATCGACTCAAGATTGTGCACATATCGTTTTGCCTTAGTTTCCTAACCATGCCAATTCTCAGTGTTTGTTTCAATTACTACTTCTTGGTCGTGTAATTAAGGTTTTCGCTTAGATTTCCCGATATTTTGTATCTTCTATGTTTACTACTGGTTGATTGACTTTCTACATTTTCTGGGGAATGTTCTATTACGTGGATTTTTCGTCCTGTTTCCATGCACATTACTCATACATTAATACACCGTAGCAATACATAATGATTTTCTGTTGGATTTAATAAATTTTCAAGCAGAGATTCAGCTTTCTGTAGGTCAACTGCGCCGAGTTGAGAGAAGAATTCTCATTCTTTGATTGTCTGCTTGGAATATTCAGGAGCTGGGTATTTTCCTGAAAGTTAGTGTCACAAACTAAATTAATCTAACAGGATTCTGTTTTCAAAGAAGACATAAATTAAGTGATTTAGAAACCAAACCTTTTATATTAACACAAGAAGTATTACAATAACTGTCATCTAAATGTCTAGGCTGATATGTTGACAAAGGTGTTGATTTTTGTCACAGGAACTGGCCAGAAGAGCTAATTAGCTTTATGTTTATATAAGTACGTAGGTACATATAGTCGATTCTTTTGTACAGTAATAACCGGTGCTGGAGAGTCGTCATCTGATGATCCTCCGTTGTTTTCTGAAATGAATTAGAATTAATCGTGAGAGTATAAGTAAATCTGAGATGATATATACAACAGGATAGATTGATATGTATTTCAAACCGGCTCGTAGTAATAAGTTACTTCATGAGCGGATGGTGTTAGCCTAAACTGTATATTACAGTCACTCAATATTAGATTAAGGTGCATATCTGTCTCACAAGTGAGTGGCTATCTGGACTCAGCATCTAAAGAGATAACTTTTTGAGGGTTCGAAGCTAAAGATAATAGATTCCAGTACCAAAGTGAACACCAGCTCTTGGGTTTAAGCATATCTGGCTGATGAATTCTAAGTAGGATGAAACACGCATCTTGGATCCCGTTGCTAGCCATATCCCATCTATTCTATGTGCGCAATAATATGGGATTTTTTGCTAGTTATAGACGTTCGTGGTTTACGTGGTCTAAACTTTTAGTTCCAATCTTGCTCACTAAATAAACGAAGCCATAGCTCACTGTCTACTTATCGAGCTGAGTGCAGTCAAATAGTATAATTAGTAAATATATAGTATGGTCAGTTGCTAGTTGACTAACGGCTGTTCATTCTTTCAATGAATAGACCAATAAATAGAGATATTACTAATACCTATGATTAGAAAAATAACCAAGCTCAGCTTCCCCATTTTAGTCATTGGCATAGAATCGTGTCAACAGTGGTTCTTTAAGTTCTCATTATTTTTATTTTTGTTTGATCATGAGCGTAGTGTGTGGTCTTCAATTTGGTCAAGTACTCATTGCTAATTTGGGTTTATCAATCATGCTAAGTGAGTATAGTTTGATTTGTTACATTTTCAAAATCATGAGTTCTATTAACCAAATGACTGAACAACTAATATAAAAAATAATGGGATTTTTTGAAAATTTTCATCAGTTGAAACAATTCAGTTAACATTACTACCGGTCATAACTATCTAAACCAATTTGTGTAATAACCGAATTATGGTTTACTTAAGTTATCTTAACATTAGTTGGAACCAATCTTAAGATTTCCATTTGTGTACAAAGCAAAATTATAATAGTATAGATGCAGAGCTTACTTTCTGGAGCACAATTTACTTCATCGAAAGACATATGTATGCAAAGACACAATAATATAGTAATCTGAAATGGAATTCGTCGTCAGTTGTGTACATAGTAGGACAAACTTTGAATATTTTCATTATCAGCGTAGAGTCCTCTTGCAATTCGCAAGTCACGAACATTTACCTCCATATATATTTGTTTATAAAGGTGTTTACACTGAATCTATATAGGATTTTTTCAATGAACGGATCAATAAACTGTCGAATATCACCACAATAATTGATCATTGTTTATAGTTATTTTGTTTACATTGAAGGAAAATAAATTTATCTGACAGTTCGGCTAATTGGATCATTCGAAATCCACAAAGTACTATGTACATTTGTGATTGATAAATCGATTTGAGCCACAAATGTTATATACAATAAAAGTAATTGTTTTGTTTATTTATTTTATAATGTACATTGAACTGTTCAATAAACGAAAGGTTGTAACGTTAGCCGATAATTTGGTTTCCGGGACACGTACTCCTTTGTCGATTGTCGCCCTGTTAGTTATTCTCATAAATGACTTCCGTTCAGTATATATTTATTTTGCTTTTGAACACATGATACTTTGCGGCATTATTCCCTGTTACCCTTTGGAAAGCGGAAAGCTATCTAATTTGGTTATTAATAATGAAATGAGCTTACCTCATAAAAAAATAACGGTAAAAGGAGTTAGGTGTGTGAGTGTCTATTTGTGCTTATTGTTTGATTGTCCGACATTGAAAGCCGAATAATGCATTGGGGATCACTATACTGGTTGAAATTTAGCTGATCAATAGCGTGTGTCATATATAAACAGACGGGTTGTTCAGTACTCAAAGTATTCGGTTTCTAATCAACCCAAAGATTAAGCTTCACACCATCTACTTTGGTTTTTTCAACCGATTTGCACCACTACCGCAATGTGGCTAAAAGCCAAGCACATAAACGTACTTGATATACGAGTTTCCTTCATTATCATAACTACATTCTTTGATATTTACGTGTTTACCAACTATCATTTTTCAAATGATTTCACGTTTGGTAAATCTTCAATGTTTAACTTGAAGATTATTGTTAACCACATTGTTATGATCTTACTTTTCAACAAGTTCTGGACTTTCGGAGTTTGGTTCTAGGAATACATAGATTCTCAATCTTTTACATTTATTTACTTATAGCACATAAATTGTGGTAAATTATGGAACCAGAAAGTAACGTGATAAAATTATGAAGAAAAATAATAGGGAAGATGGATGTAACTTATCAATAGATAAGCAAGAATGCTATTTTATAAACTGAAACACTAGCTCAGTTAAAATCCAGTCAAGAAATACAGAATGTAGTGATAAACTACTCCAGAATATCTACGGCCTATATTCTTAGCCGTATCTGATAGGATCTGAAGTCAGTGAGTTATACTGTCGTTATGACCCCGACCACGAATTCTCTATGGACTATAATGTCAGAATTCTATACATCCATTTGTTTATACCATGGGGTTATACCACCTGCTGTCTTTGTCTATGCTTTTTTCCCTCCAATCCATCTTTGGCAAATTATGATCGGTATGGAATCCGTTGAGTTGATATTTGTATAACATGTCCAAGAAAGTCACATTAAAATAATATATACAAGGAAGTCGATAAACTTTCAAATGAATATCATTAATTATATTTATGATCTTTTTTTAATTCTTTAAACTACTCTGTCTTTACTTTTGAACATGCTTTCAGTGATCTGAGACCGATTTTACTTTAATAACCTATTTATCTAGTGGATTGAAACTGATAATAAATAAAATCGTTATTATTATTGATCTCATCTTGATAACAGTCATTAATCTCTTTTCTCAATCTATATAACAGTTTCCTATTCTCTCCATTTGTTTAATATTCTCCCGTCATTGAATATTTAACAAGAAATAATTTATATTTTTGTTTACAACTAAAAAGTTTTTTCTTTCTTTGTCATCTCCTTTTGTAATAATATCTGAATTGTTATTTTAAACGTTTTAAAAACTACGCCATAGAATTTAAGGTCATAAGTAATATGTGAATATTGGGAATAAATAATTTATGTTCAACAGTTAATGTAGTAATAATTATCAGTAGAATTTATACTAAAGATTATCATAAA